CAGTGAGAGGCGCCATCTGAGGCACAGAGTTACAACTTATCCAAGAGGTAAGTGAAGGTGATCCCTTTGACCAATTATCTGTTCAACCGAGGAGTGGTGTCACAACGGTTGATCAGAAATTGAATTTCATTTTACAATATATCAATAATTAATTCTTCAAAACCCAGTTTTTCTTCATATAATGATTTCTTATTTTTAACTTGTTTTTCTTTAACTATGTACAAATAAATCTCGATCTTTTATGCATTAAGTATCCTTATTATTTTCGCTAATATCCTTATGAATCCTTGGCAAACCATATGCATTTTATGGTTTTGCATATTCCTGAAGAAATCTTCATTTTCCAGTTCTCCATCCACTCACCTTTGAGCATATATTTCAGTACTTCTATTGGGTCCTTAATTCTATCACTTTATGTTTCTTAGTCCTCAGAAAACCTCTTTCCTACCTTTAATACCCACTTGCAATCTACTTTATTTGCTCAGATGGTTGTTGCCGAATCCGAGCTCGAAGTCAAGTTGCCAGCTTTGCTAGATTCAATCCATGCTGACATGTTGTCTCGTAATCGCGACGAGCTTATTACTCGGGTGCGGCCTGTAACTTGCATGGAAGATTTAATATCCTCACTTGATCAACACTGCATCTGCATCGCACCATTTTGTGGCGACCAGAATTGTGAGGACCAAGTTAAGGAAGCCTCTGCTAAGTGAGTGTTATTTCTCGTGGTTGGTTTTCTAGCCCATATCTCTTTTTGTTCCCCCCATTTTTGAAATTGTTTATTTGTTTTATCGTTTGTATACCAAATATGCTTGCCAAAATGTTGATTGAGAATTGATACATGTTTAAATATTCCTCTATACAATTAATATACCCTTAAGAACAAATGATACTTCTAATTAATTGAATTATCATACCTATACTGCCCATAGAACCACTACACCAAAATAATTTTAATTTATAACTTGCTAGTATATAAAAACGATAAACATATACAGAATAAGACAAAACAACCCTTCATAGGCTCAAGTAAAATAGCAGGATTTTTTCCCCTAAAAAATAGACATACTGTACAATATGCGAAGAACTTTTGGATTTAGAAGATTCTCTTGTTTCATAATTGTCGAAATTGCTTCCATTTTGAGTAAAAGTGTTATGTGAAGAGATTCGAAGATCGATCCCATCAGA